AAATTTGGAAGGGTAAGTACCATCAAAGTTCGAGGAGTACTTCCTCGTCCGTTCAGCATTCATTTGAGAATTCCCTCAAATTTTCGCATTGCTGATTCGGAAGCGTGGCATTATGCTAGAGGCGCAGTGAGCTAGCTAGTTGCCTCGCCGAGCTGCACACAACACCAGTTTAACGCGCATTACGCTATTGAATTTACTCTTCACTCAGCAGTAGCCGCATTTTAAGAAGCTTCATGAGTGTGTATTGATAGATGTCACGATTCTAGCTAATTAATTAACAAATAGTTTGAAGAAAAGCAGTACATCTAGTCTAAGCAGTCAGCTTACCTGCCAATACTTTTGCCAAGCTTTTTTCCAATTTGGATACCGAGATCGAATGTTCGTTTGCCGTCATCTTCGGGTGTTGCCAATGGTGCGATATCAGCTCGTGTTCGACTACGCGATTTCGCGCGCGTAATCGCACGCGATGATCCTCCGCCGCCATTCGCTTCGCCATTGCTGCGAACTCTCCCTGTGCGGGAGCGATGCGGTTTTCGCAACATTTGTGCCTGAATTCATTTTTACTTTGACATCGCTAAATGACTAATTATTCCATCTCTCACCCGTTCTGCTGATAAAGAAGCAACGATACTTTGCATGCTCAAGAAAAAGGCAGACTATGGGTTGCCTAGTGGCTGGCAGTTAGTTGTCTTAACGGGTGCGATGACTGCTAAGCTCAATGTCAAGGATAGTTGTCTTGCCCGTGACATAGCGTTCGAGACTACCCCCATCAACTCGTCTGACTTCCAGCTTTGAGAAGCTGTCCAGGCTCCAGTAGCGACTGAACTCATCAGTGAAGCAGTTACAGTTACTTCTGTAAGTATACAAGACAATGTAGTGAGGTTAACGTGCTCCTATCACCAGGAATTGAATAGGCTAATGAAATTATTTCGACTGAAACGCCAATTTTCAATCCATCACCGTATGAGTTTAGTTGTTCATTATGTTTTCAGTTGTTTTTATTCCTACCAGCTCACCCGAACCCCGGACATATGGTCAAAACCCAGACACGACGTCTAGGGAACTAGGACCCACTTCGAGATCGAAGTTGTTGTAGAACCTTGTGCCCATTGCTTTTCCCAATTCCCTTTGCTCTCTTGATCTTCCAGTTTTACCAAACTTGTTAATTGCAGATGAACAGCTTCTGCGACGGTTCGACCCGTTGCACCATGCACCAAAAAGTTCTGCCACTACGACTTAAATGTTAACAAATATAAAAATTCATAGAGGGAGAAAGCGGCGAGGTGGAACCCTACCGGCGGAGTTTCGATATTTCATATTATACTAAACTAGGGAACTAGGACAAATTCATTGGAGTAGAACCCACTCGCTTGAATTGGTGAATTGGTGATAATAGTACAGCGACGACAGACTAAAAGCCATTGAAAACGGCTGAGAAGAAAGCGCTAAAACTGGGCAATCTGCCAATAGGGAGGAAAAACGAGCATTGAATACAGAAATTTAGGCTCTTGGGCCGTTGACAGCGGTCATTGTTTGAGCGCACAGCAAAGGGAAGCTTTCATAGTCTACCAGCCGATACGCGAGCGCGCGCCGGCCGGGGGACCACTCGGCCTGCGGCATCCGTCAAGATTCAGTTGTAAACAAGGGGCAAGCGCCGCCCCCGGCGGACTATGAAAGCAGCCAAGGATGTTAGTATAAGTATCCCGTCATCACTGACTACGCTGTACAATTGCGTGCGCGAGTTACTACGCAACCTCTTATTCCTACAGCAAACAGCTTTTCACGCCTTATTGCTTTACCTCACATCTTAGCAACGCCGTCTATCTCCTTTTAGTCGGTGTGCGCTTCGTTGGGCGCGTCCGTCGAAACTAGGTCACGCCGCAGCCGTCGCAAGCGGCGCATTAGCCTGCGATTTTTGACAGACGTCGCAGTTGTTAGTGGGACGTATGATTGGCGCTTGGTCCACGGGGGAGACGGGCGTTAGGAACGATTCTGGGTAATCGATTCGCCGCACGCGGCTGTCGCGGACCACTCATTCGCCGTTATTACAGCTCTAGCGTTTTTCATACAGCTCAATCTATATGCGATCATTATTTTATGCATAATTCTACTATTAGTGCTTTTGTTCTTGTATTTCTTACCTGCCGCTGCATCTTACTGCATCCCTTCGCGCGCGACGCCCCTCTCACCGCGACGCGACCATTTCGTTCCTAACGCACCACACCCGGTCCACGACACTCAACCTCAAGAGAAGATATCACCGACTAGTGGGAATCAATTGCTCCACTAACTCTGAGCGGTACTGAAATGTCATCTCGATGCCTCAGCGGGGTGGGCCGCGAGCGAAGTGGGCGGGATGACCTGGCTTCGACGGACGCGCACAACGGACGTTCCCCGCCTTTATACTTCCCTACCTGGCAAGCTTCACACAACAACAACGACACAAATAGGTTACTCCTTCCCAAGAAGTTCTTTAACAATTGGTAATCTGCAAATATTTTTGTAGCGCAAAACGCCTCTTCAAATTGCCGAGAACCGTCAGTTTTTCAGGAACTGGGGGCGATATTGAACTCTTACATATTTTTTGGAAGATTCCCTATATTGGGTTGGTACACTCAATGATCTAGGTAAATCTACTGAAGTAACTAATCAGTAAGCATATATGTAAAACAGAATAGTAGCGCACGAAACACTTTATTTCACTACACAATAAAATCTGATCTGCTGCAACCATCCGCACATAATGTGAGAGTTGTTGGTTCATATTTCAGCATGAACACCGAAAGACCGTACAGCGGTAAGCAATCTATCATAGAGTTATGTAAAATGACCAAAAAAAAAATTCAGAAAAATAAAATGAGAGAAGAACGACTGAAAATCAAAACGATCTAGAGATGAACTGAAAATATTAATATTATTGTAATTATTATAGAGCTTTGTCATTCTCTCACAATACTTTTTGTTCATCTTCCACTGTGACATGAACGTGAATTGTTGTCAGAATTAGCAAACGATAGAGAGAGAAAAGCGTATTCATTGCTATGAGGTGAAACAGACCCTACATGATCACCTATGAAAGAGAAGCGACAAGTAATGTTAGGTAACAGAGAAGTTTCCCATCCAAGTGCTCCTGTTTCATTACGATAAAATTACTTTATATAATGATGAGTAAAGCTGGCAAAGAGTATTAGCCCGAGGGAATTCAAGGATTTACTACAAAAGAGTACTTGGCGAGTGTACAGATTATATAGTCTTACACATATACTTTCAAAAAAAAGTAGGGAAAGAAACCGGAGAACCCGCCTGCCTATGTTACCGAACCAGTGGGAGAGACTAGGTCGTAGGAACGTCATGTGTATATGTATATTTAAAGAAAACTGATTTAAAATTATATGTAAAAGGAGCTGCTGTGCGAGACCAGAATAGAGCATGACGATATATGGTACCCATTAAGGAAACAACGGGGTTCGAACAATGGAATGCTTCCAGTCGTGCTATCTGGGAACTATATAGAAGATTGAAAGTGGGTTCTGGAAGGAAAGAGACATTTCGCGAATTGGTTTGGAAGCTGATAATCAAATATACGGTCTATTCCGTACCTAATAAGACGCGTACATGGCGAGTAGCCGCATTCGCGGGCGGTATTGATCGGCCGCGCGGTTGAAATTGCAGCGCACCTCTTGGCGCCTCTGTAGACGTCTCATTTCAGTACGAATAGACTCTGGCGCTTCCGGAAACCTAACTTATACACGAAGCATCTCATCTCAAAACCTTATTAATTCCAAGGGCGTCATTTTGAGACAAAATAGCCACTACTACAGTGCCCGCGTAGAGTAACACTTGGAAGATAAAGAGCGTTAAGTGGACAGAGAAGGAGCAATTCAAAAGGGAGGCGGGCGAAAGAATCGTGCACTGTCGCACACGCGGCGCGGGAATGCCGCGCGACCAGTTGTGCACAGATGTCCTACTTTCATGTTAAGCAACACTGCGACCGCTCCGCTAGATGCACGATTTTTTCGGCACGCTTCTGATTTAATAAATTTTAAAGCGCAGATATCTGACGGGGCTAAATCGGGACAAGTTGCGGACAGTGAAGAAATGGCTAAATTGTTCCAAAATAACGATTGGGATCTTCAGCGGTCGTCTGTATGACAGGAAACGGGAATTTTCGTAGACGGAATGACAGAGAGAATGAAATGTAACGACTGCAGCTGAGAATCAATCACTCATGACCGGAAACATGATGAAAACACCAGTGAAAAAACGTAGGGAACGGGGGGAATGAGGGAGCTTACTTAGTAAGTACGAGAAGAACAGAAACACTGTTAAACTACCGTGTACAAAAAACATTTAATCTATATATACATTCCTAGTTTATGAGCGTCGATGTAGTAGCAGTATAGTAGTAAGATATCGTCTCTGTTTATATCGAGCGTAGCGCAGCTAGACTAGAGGAATGATGTGATGAAGCGTCAGCATGCAGTTAACACAAAAGTATAAATACACGAAATTCTTACAAATTATTTGTTTTCATATTTCTTTGGCAAAATGCCAGCAATTCGAGCTCTGAATTAAGCGCTGATACTATCTATGTTCGACAAGTGAATTGCCCGTGGAGTTTGTTTTTTTTTTCGCGATGTGTTTTGAAATTACCACAAAATAAATATCACCTAAAAATCATGGCTATTATGCTCATTGTGAATGGAAAAGAGAACTAGACCGACCCTCTTAATAAACAAACAAAAGAAGTATTGCCATCCGGACTTATGTTGGTGCCATTTTCCCTTTAAGGATGGCACCCTCAGTCGTGGCGACGACTTGGTCACGACGACACACAGATACGTACTCTATCCACACAAAAAGCAGAATTCAATAATAAAAAAATATTGTAGGATGGTCCGATGACGTAATTTGGGGATGGGGTGTTTGGTTGACTGTTTAGGGCAGGAGCAGTATGTGGAGCAAGCAAACACAAAAAGCATCAACATCATCATCATCATCATCGTCATCAGAGGAATGCGTCACCCTCCTCGTCCGAGTCACCAAGCGCTTCGGGTGTCGATTTGCCATGAGCGGCATCCAACGACGATGGTACACCCAATGGACCACATGGTGAACCTTCGCTGGCGACCGCTCGCACTTGCGACGATGTCGCGCCACGCCGACTTTTCTTCGCTTTCTTGAGCATTTGCGCCTAAACAGCCACGGTTAGCACACTCGAGCAAAGCGAGCGCACAACAAGCTTCAATTCACATCCCCGTTTGGGAACACAACGTCATATGGATGGTTTGGCTTCGGTGGAAGCAGCGGTGAGCGTAGGCCGAACCCACTAAATCGTGGGCTTTAGGTCAGAACGCGGCCGGCGCAAATTCGTCGCCTTCCGCACGCGGCACGTGCGCCTGGACCACCATTTCGATTGTCGCGCCAGTGTCCGCGTGCGGCGAGTGGCAGTTTCGCACAGGCTGCATACTGAATTGGAGCTACACCATTTCGCCTGCACCGAACAGCCACAGATCCATATGACGTCGTCATTCATTACAGAACAGCAAACCCTGTCGATGAGCACGAACACCACCGATACGAGTTTCACTCACGACAAAACCATTTGCATTTATTCTATGACAACATATAGTAGCGTTCGGTTCATCCGGTCAATTTTGATCGATCGATAGTTCAAAAAAGATGAGAAAATCGATAAAAGTTCGGACTGACCTTTAATGCGGATTTCAGTATGGTAATAGTACCCGGGGGCTGTATATGGGGTTCACCGTCTACCTGCACTGGCCATTCTTCATGTGTAGTTATGCGAATCTAAAAAAATGGTCCTGTTATTTCAACTACCAAACACAAAGGTGGTAAATAAGTATAACTTACACTTCCTCCTTGAGCAATACGGGTACCAGCGGCCAGCTTCGATTGAATGAGACCCAAGCGTGATACGTCGGAAATGCCAACCACCTGAAAAAAGGTAACAAGTTTTGTATGAGTACAGATTACTAGTTTTCAAGAGCTTTACCTCCAGAAGACCGTCGTAGTGTGTCGGCTTTTGGAATGGGCTTTCTTCTTTAGCAGTACCCCATGGATTAGCACCACTACCCCAACTCAACAAATTCAGAACAACTATACCCTCAATGTTCGGCAATTCAATAGGACGTCCATCGACCTGAAAAAATCATTTAGAATACTAATGGCTACCAAGGTATCATTTATTATCATTCATTTCATTCTTGTTCTGTGCTGTCATTGTATTACACAAGTAGAAGAGTTCTTAAGAGTAATAGTAGTTACTATATAGTAGTTACTATAAGATGAAAAAACCGCTGTTGACGTGATGAAACAGCATACGCACAATGTACATGGTCGGGTGAGAACTATCCTGCTGCCCACCAATGAAGGCATTTCCCGCGCAGTCTACGCAC